TGATGTAACAGTATGGATTGCCAAGGAGAAAAGGAAGTAAAATTAGATTAATATTTTAGCATTCGTACTAACACTAATGATCACCTATTTTACTGATGTTAAGTTTATATTGACATTTTGTCATATTCAATGTCAGTTGAAATAGCTGGTGGAAATGGTCATCTCTAGATGATTTTATGGATGTTGATTACTACCACGTAACAGAAAGTCCCAACGGATTTTGGCTGATCCCTAAATAACGCAATTAGCACTATGACTATGCCTCTTTTATGAAATATCTCTGTTAAATGCAAATATTCTATTGAATCCACATATTAACTCATATCAATAACTTGTCTTCACTTGAGTGGATTTATAATTATTTTCCACATCATGGTTTTGGTGTAGTTACTCTTTACTTTGATAAACACTTATGTGATGATTGAAAAAAGAACAGAACCTAAGAGGCTTAGTTTTAGGCTTACTGTTCTTGTTTTTGATTTCTTCTTCCCCATCACAATTCTGCAGATTTGTTCCTTGCTAGATTGTTGGAGTTACCAAACCTTTAATAATAATTACCCAAAAAGCCTTAATTTTTCTCAATGTTAGTGAGGTAAGTATTGATCATGGCTATCACTTACAGTGTTTCTCACTGATGTGTGTACCACAGAATTCAAAGTATATTATTTTTTTTCATGTATCATTTACTCCTTTATGTCTTCTCCATTGTATTTTACTACTTTCCACGTGGCTCCTCACATTTGGTTCTGATCTAAAAAGATGATGAATCATGTATGTCAACTTGACTGAGATGTAAGATGCCCAGATATTAGCTCTATGAGGCTGGAAAGAAACTGAGTCATTCTGATTGCCTTCACTAATGTGACTGGCCTCTATCAGTCACTTGAAGTCCTGCATAGAGCCAAAATGATGGGTAAGAGGAAATTTCCTCGTGCTTGTCTATGTTGAAATTGGGGAATTGTAATTTTTTCCCTTGACTTCCCATTGTAAGTGAAATCTGAGCACTTCCTGGGTCTTGAGCTTGCTACTTTGGACTGGAACTGTATCTTATCAGTTCCCATGGTCTCAGGTCTCTAGTCTCACACTGGAATCCCACCACTGGGTTTTTCTGGGTCTCCAGTACGCTGGTTGTACACCACATCTTGAAACTTCTCAGCCTTCAGTATTGCATGATCCAATTCCTTATAGTAATTCTCTCTGTCATTGTTTCCATCTTCTATTGATTCTACTTCTACGGAGGACATTGTCCAGTACATTTGATAGCTTCTGTTTATGTAACCTTCAACTAAGCTCGATTCGATTTCAGCTCTGTCAGATGCTACCTATGTACATTCTCCATGCAGAGCTCAGTTTTGACACTGATTTTAACAATTACTTTGACAATAATTTTAAACAGAATTATTTCTTAATCACACATACTTGAAGTTTGCCTAATTCAGACTTCATATCATCACATTGGAATGTGCTATCTTGTTCACACCACCCACCATCTCTAGCACTGATCTTTGCACTTTTCTGTGATAGTCTCCCTCATTTGGTCGTGTACTCTGCTTTGAATTCACCATTAATTAACAATGTTAAAGCAAGAACAATTTACATTTAGATACAACACAACTCTGGAAGTTCTCCTCTTTCACTGTTCTATATTTGTGTAGATGTGATTTTTTTAAAAGACAGGGTCTCATTCTCAGCTGTCCGTAAGTTTACCATGTAACCTAAACTGGTCTCGAAGGTGAACCTTCTGCCTTCCCTCAGGGATACTGGGACTAGAGTTGTGTGCCATTACACCAAGCAATAGTCAGCTTATTTAGCATGGTTTAGCTTGGGCCATGTAGTGCTGCTAATTCACAAGTGCTAAAGAAGGATCACTACAAACCAAATAGATTTATTTAAAGGACTGCATTTAAATCGTATAATGATGCTCTGTGAAGAATATTGCTTTTTGTAGAGATTTAAATCCATCCCTTTACTGACAGGTAGTTAGATAGCCATCCAACTAGTAAAACCCTACAGTAAACAACCATGAGAAAAGACGTTTGGTTGGGGGACAATTATCCATGTTGTGATGGTTCTTGATTTTCTTTTAGGAAATGCAAGGAAAAATATGGGAACAAGATCACAGCCCCAGCATAAAAATGATCTGCTACAGTCAATCTCATCTCTGCTGAGATTAAATTCTCAGTGACAAAGGTGATAAAAAAGTTTCCATATTTGTTTTTCATAATATTGCATGCATACACAATATTCAAAATTATTTTTATAATGTTCTTGGTATCTTTAAAAATGTATACAAAAGATATCGAGTTCATAATATCTAACAAAAATTTGGAATATCTTGGATTTAAATTCAATGCTCTGAGGCACACTGAGAATCTTTCAGCTCAGCTAGTTTAGCAGAACATATATAAATATGAGCAATGAAAATTCTTACTATACATTACAAATCATCAACACTCCTGTTCCAAGTTAGTGTCACTACAACCCTCCAATCCAACATGCTTTTCTTTTTATTCTCAACTACAGTTTTAGAAGGCTTTTAAATTATTCTGATTCTTATAAAACACAAATGGTTTTACCTTACTTCCCTAACCCTCCAGTTGGATGCACAAGTTTTTAATGCTTTTTTTTTTACGTAATGTGGGTTTTTATTTAACTTTTTAGGAATATAAATTATGTATCTTTCACAAAAATTTGTTTTGAACATATATAATGATTCACCTCAGGAAATTAATCTATAATTTTATTTAAAATGTATCTTTTTCTGTACATGTGAATATTTTTTACTTTAAGCATTGAAAGCATAGCATAAATTCCTTTATGTCATATATTCTGTGTGCACTGAGAGTTCACATGAAAATGCTTTTCTCTAAGATCTTAAATATGAAATCATTCTGATAGAAAAATCTAGAGTTAAATAATTCTAACACTAGGTTATGATAATAGATTTCCACATTGCTATTGCTTTACACACAGAATGGCAAATTTCAAAAAAAGAAAGGACTCAATTAAAATAAAAAGAAGACTTCCTCCCCCATTTTTGACCCCCCCCCAAAAAAAACTAGTGAAAATTAAAAAAAAAAAAAACAAAACCTTAGATTCCCCAACTATGCAAACATAATACCTAGGCAGTTACATATTTTCAAAGAATCTCAGCACTATGAATATTTTTAGAGACTGGAGTTGGGGTGTCAGAACAGAAGCAAATTCAACTGCTGGACAAAATATGTACCATCAGTCAAATTACTGGCTATATATAACCTATATTGATGTTCCTTTACTACAGTTTAAGAATGGAAACCAAAAAGAGGATGTAGAATTACATTTTGTTTTTATATTCCACACATACTTAATAAATCTGCGGGGGTTTTTTTTGTTTGTTTTTGGTTTTTTTGCTTCAAATCACAAGGGTATCAATTGTTTGGAGCCACAATCTAATTTCTCTCTTATAGGGCTAGAATTTAACAATCAGTGTTGTGAAGAACTTGTAAAGCAGTTCGAAGTAGGAAATGTATCACATTGGTTGTCTGTATTAAGAATATGAAATTCTCATGTAACCTGACGTCACACACTGAAAAATAGAAAAGAAGAACAAACTAAGACCAAAGTCAGCAGAAGGAATTAACAATAAGGATTGGAACAGAAATAAAAGTATCAGACACTAGAAAAGCAATTGAAAGACCAATGAAACAAAGATGGTTTTATCTTTGACTAGAAAAAGATAAAAAAGGGAATGCTCAAATAAATAAAATAAAAAAATAAAAGAGGCAGTGTAACAACTGATACCACAGAAACACAAAATATCAAAGGAGGTACTTTGAGCAATTATATACCAATAATTTGTTAACCTAGTACAAAGAGATAATTTCCTGTAACTGAAAATCTTCCAAGAAAGAACCATGAAAGAGAAAATTTAATTAGATCAATAGTGCAAAAAGATATTAAGTCAATAGTAAAATATCTTTCCACACAGAGACACTTAAGACTTCATGACGTCATGGTGGATTTCACCAAATGTATGAGGAAGAATTAACATTAATCCTTCTCAAATTCCTCCAAAATGTTATAGAAGTGGCAAACATTTAAACACATTTATAAACAAATACGAAAGACAGATAAGAACATAACAACAACATATTATAGGCCAATATCCTTCATGAATTTAGATGGAAAAATGCTCAACAAAATCTACTATTCAACCAAATTCAACCATACATAGAAGAATCTTTCTTTATGTGGTCATGATCTATTCAAGGGATGAAAGGGTGGTTCAATATATACAAATCATTAAATGTGATAAACCACATTAGCAGAATGAGTGATGCTAAAGTCATATGATCATTCAACAGTTGTATATAAAATATTTAATACAATCCAGCATATCTACATGTCAAAATTCTCAGCAAATAAGGGATGTCAATATAATAAAGACAACATATGTAAATCCACAAATAGCATTGTACTTGCTGAAAAACTATAAACTTTTCCTCTGAGATGAAGAATAAAATAAATATTTCCATACTCCCCATTGCTATCCAAAGTAGTACTTACTGTACTATGTTTTAGCCAGAAGAATCAGGCAAAAGAAAGAAAGAAATGGTATCAAAATTGGAAAGGAAGAAGTTAAATTGTCACATTTACAGACAACATATATAATCTTGTATAGGAAATCCATATATCATAAATGCAAAATTTTTATTTGTCCACTAGAATAAAACAGAGAAAAAATAGAGAACTAGCTTTAAAAAATGCGGTTTGGCATCTCTTTTGTTGCTAAGAAATAAGGTTATCAGCAGCCACAGTGTGAAGTAAAAGCCTTTGTAATTAGATGTACCAAAACATAAGTCTCCATAGAAATTGAATCTTATGAAAAAATTTAAAATGCAAGTTTAAATTCACTGTCAGTAAAGGTGTGTTATCCATAAAACAAAGAAAGCTAACTTAGTTTTAAAACGTGAAGAAAACACTGATGTTATTGTAAGATGCATAAATAGAATACATACTGGGTTTAGAAGGATTGTAAGGAAAAGTTCTCCTCCTTTGATACTTTTATCCAATTCCTGGGGTCCTCCTGGGTACTCTTTGTAGAAAATGGTGTGTGTAAACAACCCGCAGGTCTGCCGAGGGAGAACCTTAGGAAAAGGGGGGTAAGCATAACACCTTAGCATGATTTAAGTGAGAAACTTACTACTGTCTCATAAATTCAAAGCCTGCAAGTTATGAATGCCTATGGAGTTTCTCGATTGTTAAGACTCAATGAAATCAGTGCCATAGATACAAGAATTAAGGTTAAGGCTTTTTGCTCAGTTACATAAATCTAAACTATTATCTGATTTATTTTAGAGTTGATATAAAATAAGAAAAACTGTCTTCAGGTTAATTCAAAAAATAGAACACCTCCATGGTAATATTTTCACTCCGTTAGAAAATTTCTTTCCTTCTGACATTCAGTCTTGTGTTGTCTTCAGGTTCTGGAGTTCAAAACAGTCAATTTCCGTCACCCCTTCACATTTGTTTAGTTTTTACTCTACTCTGAATTCAAATTTTATCATAGTGTAGTCCAATCATAAAATTATTATTGTTGGTATATTGTACAGTTAATTCTGTTAGAAATCTGAATGTTCAAGAGAGAAAACAAACAGGCTTTCATTCTAAAAACTTGCTTTGAATAGTAAACCATTTAATAACCTAATGGGAAAACATCCCAATTGCCCAGAGTAGCTATAATTCATTTATTATTTACTTAATATTACTTTCAAGGTAATAGAATGCACATGATATTTGTTAAAATATATTTGTTAAAATAGTATTTTCATTTTTTAACATGTTAAATGGACATACAACTCAAAAAGGAAAAAAATTGTATACTGTCACTATTATGAGAGTTATTTTTTAATACTTCTCAGGTTTCTAGTGCCATCATTTGCATTACCAATAGGTTTATTTAAATTTTAGTTTTCTTTCCTTCCTCTGACGCAAATGTAGAACAAAATAATTCTTGATAAATGAGGATTAAGAACCATCTTAGTCTATGTATGCCTTTTCTTTCATTTTAATACCATTTAGATGGCTAGATTGATTGGCCAGATAGAGGGACCAAAAGATAATTCTAGCAGCAGTGTGAGTAATGAATCACAACAGAGTAAACATTTAGGAGTGGGGGAAGTTTTGCAAACTCTTACGCTGATTTCGACATCTAGTGAAAACAACATCACTTAAGGTACTGAAAATGGGGACAGGCATTTTAAAAGAGGATATTTCAGATCAATGTGAATGCTACTCTTTATTCTAATGAATAATTATAAATGCCCAATTGAATTCATTTGGCTTTATTATCATTTATAACAACTGGTGCAATATTGTTAAATGAGATTATTTTTTTCATTGAAAATGTACCATCCTTACAGTATACAAGAAAAAGATAATGAGAAAGGTCCATATTGTAAAACATTTCAAGTGTCTAAAAGTCAAAATAAACTGAAAAAGATAGATTTAGCTCTCAGAATTTATTTGTTCTGCTTTGTCTGTTGATAGTACAACAATTTGAGAGATGTTTCCTTGATTCATGGAGCCACAATCTGCCTTTATAAACTCTGTAAAACCAGTGAAACAAAGAGTACTGAGAAATGCCTCAGAAGAAGGATCTAGGATCCCCAGACAAAATTTCAGTTCCGGAATTTCAATAGATAAGCTATGCGAAGTTCATTCTCAGTGTTTGCAGCGTGGCTTAGATCTGTTAAGTGATTCCACAGCTTCGGAAGCAAGGCTGTAGCCAAATAACACGTTAACGTGTGAGCAGTCCCCATGGCAGTATGTAGAGACTTTCTGATTTTCTTGTAAAACAGATTTGGCATGAGACCCTGTAAGGAATGGTGACCTGAATGCATTCCACATGCAGATACTAACAGCCTTCAAAAAACAGCACAATGTGCTCTCACCATGATGCTGTTGTGGACGAAGCCCTTTCTGTACCGTGCAGGTTTCAAGTGCGGATATTCTTCAGTGCTGGTGACCTGGATACCCCACACCTTCTTCCAAGCCGCATACAGCTGAATGTGAACGGGGTAGACCCCTGAGTGATGTGGGGCCACAGCATAGCCCATGTTGACAGGTATTCCATGTTCCTGAAAGAAGCCAGAAGAATACTGTGACAGATGTGGTTGACTGATCCAATGAAAATTATTTCCACAGTTCCTTGTTTAGAGTACACTGAATTTAAAAAATAAAAAAAAGAAAAAAAAAACTTGCAAGATTAATTTTTAAAATGTTTTTGCAGCTTACAAACTTACAGAGCTCTGATGGTATACTGGATGTGAGCCGAGTGGTGTGTGAGACATTGATTCTGAATTTTGAATGCAGAAAGTTTTGGGGGAAGATAGGAAATGAATTTGATAGATAGATAGATATACAAATAGATGCAAATCTATTTGTATATCTCAGATAGATAGATATGCAAATAAAATAGATATACAAATAAAATAAATTTAAAAAGTATAACTTGAGCAAGTACCCACAGATAGAAGATGGAAGAGGAGAGAGAGAAGAAGAGAAGCAGGATGTGAAGGAGAGAAGGAAAGCGGGAGGAATGGAGGGAGAGAGAGAGAGAGAGAGAGAGAGAGAGAGAGAGAGAGAGACAACCAGAAAGGTAAGCATGACCCATCGGGGATGACTTTTTCTAAATAAGCAGAGGGATTTGAAATTAATTCTATTTGAATAGTCAGAACATGAAGGATGAAACTCTGTTCTATGTTTTCAGAAAATTCTAGAAATCTGTTAAGGTAAGTTTCACGTGAGGACCTGAGCAGGACCTGTGTCCACAGCACTGTTAGGGAGCTACTTGTCCGATGCAGATTAAGGGAAAATGGGTAACAACATCAGGTGATCCGTGGTCAGATTAAAGAACTGGCATTATTAGCAATAAGATCCAGCGATGTTTTAATTACAGAGGGTAAAGGAAAGTTAAAGGTTAAGATTCTGCTCTTGGTTTGAGATTTTAGTAACTCAATTTATTTTTATAAAACAAGCACTCTGCTAGGAGATATTTACCTTGGGTAAACAGTCAATCCAGAAGGAAAATAGGTACACATTTAAAACAAGAATATGAAAACACTGTCAAAGAATGTTATTATATTGCTAGGTACAAGAAATAGATCTGCAGTTTCTAATTTCTACTTCTTTTTATCTTTCCCTTTAAATGCTTATCTGCTTTATAAAGAGTCCTAGTAGGATTGAATCTCATCAATTGAGGTTATAAATGACAATGTACAGTTATATGAGAGCTGATTGAATCAATAAACAGAGCACCAAGTGTTGACTTGACAATTGCCATTTATATTTTCTATTACATGGTACACAGCATAGGAAACTAATTCTGTTCAGTGTAATAAACAAGCAGTAAATGGTTCACATAGCTACAGTGTCTAAGTCATATGCCACCCTCACCTTAGAAGATGGGCTCTAAATATTTAACAAATCTCCCTTTCTTGGAATGACCCTCATTGGAGGGCCGAATTCACTTCTCTTTCATCAAAACTATGTGTTTGCTAACATCTATTACAATAAATGACTCTGTAGAAAGATTGAATTATGAAATCAATGCTGTAAAATGAGCTGGAGTCTTTTGTGGGGCACTAGGGAAAACTTGTTTCGTGTGTGCAGAAGAGAAATACTACTTTTGAGAGCTGATATTTTTCCCTTCCTCTCTCCCTTCCAGGCTTCCTTCTTTCTTTCCTTCCTTCCTTCCTTCCTCCTTCCTTTCACACTCAGGAATGAGCCCTGGGCTTAGTGCGAACATTCTAGCTCTGAGCTTTATCCAGCTCTGACACGTGCATGTTTACAATATAAGACAGGTTTGGAAAAGTCCACCAACAGCTAGTTGGAAGTTACTAGAGCTCAGGCAACTGGTATAACCTGACCCAACACTGGGAGCCATGGATCGTTCTGGGAGAAACTTTATGTTTCTCCATTTTGCCCTCATTGCCAAGTGAGTGATCCCAGGGTTTGTGAGTGGGAGCAATTCCCCAGCAGCCCAGATGTTGCCAGCCCGTGACTACATTGAATGAAAAGGAGGTGAACTTCCCTGTAAAGGAAACCCGGGTGTTCAGTCCCCTTGTCTGGTAAATGAACTTTTTCATGACTGTTGCCTAGAATGTATTTCTGATTCAAAACAAATGGGAAAAATAATATTTTCTTCTTACTAATCAAATGATAGAGAAGTTATATTTTATATTTCTTGTCCTATAATTTGAAGAATGACATAAGAATGTGTGACTCCTAATAGTATTAATAATAATTTGTTACCCCTCATTTACCTTTCATTTTTCTCAAACTTATTTTTTAACTTTAAGTTTAAAACCAAACAAAATAAAACATAATAAAGCTAATCAAAACAAAGCAATGACAGTGACACATGACTTCAAAACCAGATAATAAGAAATCAACAATGGCTACCATAATGCCTCTTGTTATCTTAAAAATACCTGTTCCTATCATCAGACATAGCAAAATCAAACAAAACAAAACAATGAAACCAATCAAAACAAAACAATGAAAGCCATACAGTACTTCAAAACAAAATAATAGAAAATTAACAATGGCTACTATAATGCATCTTGTTATCTTCAAAGTAGCTGCTTATACCTTCACGCACAGTAAAGTCAAACAAAACAAAACAGTGAAAATAATACAAGATTTCACAACAAGACAATAGGAAGTTGACAATGACTACCATAATGCCTCTTACTATTTTCACACCAGTGCCCACACCATTAGGCCTGGGCATGTAAACTTAGCCATTTGATATAAGAACTAAGTTTTTTGTTGTTGTTTTTTACTTCAGTTGTTATTTTTTAGAAATGTCAGGTGTGTGACTTCTACCTTCCATGTCTGTGTTCCTGAACCCCTTTTGAGTGGGCTGAGGTCTTACTATTTTACTCCTTGGTCTTCATGTTTTGTGTGTTTCTCTGAATCAACCCATTGCCACACCCCAGGTGCTTCCTGTGTTTGCAGTCCCTGAGTGTAGGGTGGACCCGGTACCTGGTTCCTCCTTTCTGGCTTCCTGGAATGGTGGAGAAAGGAGGGGCCGTGGTTCACGATGCTCCTCCAATGGCAGTAAAGCCTTGGGGTGTGGCTTCTTTTCTGGGTCCTTAGCCTTCATTTTTATCATTTTAAAGTGGATCTTTGACTGACAAATTCAGTTCATTCCGGGGGGCTTGTTATAACTCAGGTTGTCAGTAGAAAGTTGTCAGGCTGCTCAACACAGCCTTCAAAGTCTCTCTCCTGTACACAGTGACAGACACTGGCCCAGGATTTCTTAGTTAACCCATACGGGGAAGGATGTTGTAATATTCCTTCCAGAACTCTATGAGGGTTAAATCTGTATCTTAGACCATCTGAAAGCACAAGTGGCCTGCATGCAGGTCATAACTCAAGACTTTTAAAACTAAAATTTTGATCATAACTCAAGTTTGCATGTCAAGCTGGTGGTAACTCAAGGGTCCACTATATAATATTTTATTCCAAATTTAGAAACAAGAATGCTAGGTAAGTATACTAGTGTTCTAGAGATGAAGAGATGAAAAAATAAAACCATTTAAGGGAATTGAAATATCAAACAAAACTGCATCTCAAAAAAAAAAAAAGACATTTCACTTTTGACAGGTAGTAAAATGAATTGTAGAACTTTTCATGAAAAAGCAGAAAGTGAAAGCAATTGATTTGGTGAGAGGGAAGGAAGGGTCAGTAAAAAGATTTTATATTTATTGATTTGTAGGAGCTCAATCTATCGTGTTCATAAGGTCATCTTATCACATTGGCAACTGGAGCTCAGTCAAAATAGTAAATCACACTAGATAATTATGAGTTTATGCTTTTCCAGCCTAAATGATAACACAAAGTGAAAAGTAATTCCCTCGTAACTCTTTTCCTGTTATCAAGGGGCCTACTGAACTAGAAACCTTCATTCTTTCCTGTCCAGAGCTTAAATCCCGCGTCCCAGAGACTTAGCCAACTGAAAAATGAACCAAGAATCCTATTTCCACAAACACACAAACATTACAAGATTTGAAAGGGTTTTAAACGTAAATATCAGGAACACTTGAGACTCCATAAAACAAACATAAGTGACAGAGCAAATATTTTTAAATATAGTTTTTTTAATTTATTAGAATCACCTTTTCTGATAGGATCCACAAATTTTGTCATATTATATGATATGCCAATAAACATATATACAGTGGAGTTTGACTTTATTTCATATTTCCGGTTACATTAAATTCCTAGTTAGGTGGGACAGAAGATATTGTGGTAAGCTTCAGGCTGTATATAAAAAAAAAATCACCATTTTTGAAACTACCATATAAAAAGGCACTAAAATTGTAACAATTATTGAATTAAAAAATTATTTTATTTTTTGAAGTCATTCCTACTGGCCATGTGTCTTTGCAATTGCCTGGTGTTTTTACATTTACATGTAATGTGACCTCAGAATAGTCCTGTTGAGAGGCCTGGATGTTGGTGTAAATGTGGAAACAGCCTCGCAGGCAAATGATTCGTTCATGTTTACAAAGGTTAGAGCTACTATTTCGCCCCCTGCTTTCTAAATCTAGTGTTTGCTTCTGCTTTTCCACTAAGTTGTTTTGACTGGACTAAAAGAAATTGATTTTAATATGTATTTGTGAACTAGAATCCTAACCACTGTGTGTGTTTTGTGTTTCATACTGGGATAGATGAAAAGCAAATAAGTATGTTTCTTTTTAAAAATTTTTGCTTTTTTTTTTTTTTTTTTTTTTTTTTTTTGGTGCCATAAATCGAACTCCTCCGAGCCATGTGCTTGCCAGGTAGGCTCTGGGCCGCTGAGCTAAAAGTGAGTTTCTGACTCTTTTGTAGCTACCACTTTTAATCCAAATGAGTTCCAGCCAATTAGACTTGCTCAGAAGCATTTTCTAGCGCTGTAGCCAGGCAGAAGCCAAATTATGGCAGTTTCTGGCTCCTGTCTTGGAGAGTAAGCTTCTAAAAGAACCTTTCCTGCGGTGTCTGTGGTCTCCACTTACAGGGTAGCACTGAAAGCTTCGTTTGCAGACTCCTGAATGGTAGTGGACAGCAAAACCGCTGTGTACGGCTCTGA